CAAATTCAGATCTCCACTTATTTCAACCCCTACAAAATTCTCTTAACTAGAGGAAAAACTTTAATTCTCTGTAAGGTTGTAAAGAAAAACGAATACTTAGCCAAGTTAAGTGAAGAGAAAATTCTGACTGGCTAAGAGTTGACGAAGGTGAATAGAACAAAATGACATATATGTGGTTGAACAAATGTTTTCGTTCGCTCTTAACCCCAGGAGGAGTCGTTGGAGCGCCAACTTTATGAGCTGTCCACCATTCCCCTACAGAGCCTAGGTCACCACGAATTATTGCTTGGCGTGCTCATGTAGCGTGTCTTTAGGAGTTTTAATCTGGCGCATTTCACTCCTTTCCAATACAAATATCTAAATATTGTATTTGAATTTTACTTATAAAATGCTGCAAACATTTATTCCAACCCGATATTAACATCTGCTTATTTCTTATATATAGTGATTTTCCAAGCGTAGCTCAGATGTGGAACAAGGCCGAAAGTAGGGGGCACCCAGTGAGAATCGAACTCACTACTCAGTGGTAATTGTTCTAGCAAAACAAGCTTGCTAACCATTACACCGCCTCGAGGTGCCCTTTATTTTCTAAGCGTAGCTTAGATGTGGCACAAGGCCGAAAATATGGGGCATCTAGTGAGGATCGAACTCACTTTTCAGTCGTAACTGATCTAGCGAGACAAGCTTGCTAACCATTACCCCACGCCGAGGTGCCCTTATTTTTTATATATACATTTCGAAGTTAGTGTGTCACTATAAATATAATGATTAGTATTCTTGCAGATTAACGAAATAATTGTTCAAATACAGTGTAACCCGGATATAAGAGAGTGGTCGGGACCGGAGAAGAAGTCTCTTATATCCAGGTTTCTCTTATATCGGGTTTGGTCTATTTTGTTTAGGTAAGTATGGGAACACTTTGGGACCAGAGAAAATCTCTCTTATATCCGGCTTACACTGTATATTGTTAATATTTATATGGACTAGCATAGTTCCCAACGTTATTAAACTTATAGATTGGCATTTCTCTTCCGTGCTCTTGTTATCAGTGCCATTCACTTCGCTAATGCCCTTTCAAATGTATTCGTCCGTTTAATTTCTATTGCTAACAGTTTCTTTCTTTCGCTCTTCCGGCTTGTGGATCTCTCTTCCGGCTCCATGCTCTCCAATTAACTTTGATCTTCAAAACTTTAAATGAAATGCCAATTGTTATTTATTCTCCTCCTGATTACTCTTCCATTGTTCTCGCTGATTAGTAACGTCTGTTCGAATCCTAACAGGGAGCGCATATCATTTTCTTTAAAACGATTTTTAGAATATCCAGGTCGGCAGACGAAAATAAATATCTACTTTATTTGGACTGTTATCTTCATTGCCATATTCAGAACGTTTCGGCCATTGTACGCCCCGGTCTTCTTCAGGTGATTGGAATTTCGAATCGAACCCATTATTTCGTCCACTGGGGTAGATCGTTCTAGGTCCACGTGACCTGAAGAAGGCCAAGGTGTACAACGGCCGAAACGTTGCAAATACGACAATGAAAATGAGGATAACATCCCGAATAATGTAAATAATCATAATACCTCATCTCGGAGATATAGACAAAAAATAAATATACTGTTAATAAATAAACGGAGCGTTTACTCAAATATGAGACTCCACTAAAATACCGTTTAAAGTGATAAAATCTTTCGGAATGATATATAAAAACTCTATACTAATATATATATATATATATATATATATATATATATATATATATATAATTATTTAATTAAAATATGATTCCAACTCGCGACATAAGAGGTTTTCATCTTCAAGCGAAATTTTTTGGGAATAACTTATTTCTGAAATTTACGTGTTTTAATAGTATATTCATAATTGAAATCAAAATTTCCATGGTAGCAGCCAGGGCGAATTGTTTAAAATAGTTAGGGGTGTGTTGGGTGTTAATAATAAGTATCAGAATAGAGTTACTTTCATAGATGTAAAGTCAGGGTAAGGTGGGGGTGTCTAAATTTGAAACGGAAGATGTTTTCGCCTAGACTGGTTTACGTGTCTATAGAGATTTATTTATTTTTTTATTTTATTTCTTTATGAAAGGGATTTGTGCATATAAAAACTGCCGTAACATTTGTTTTTAGACGACTTCATAAAGGGTTATCTTATTTTGTAGGGTATTTAAACTATTTATTTGGGCTATGGATTATAAAAGTTATTATATTGTATGCTTGTTTGTAGCTAATTATTCAGTGCATAAATTTGATGTCGGCAAAAAACCATTAACTCATGTCTATTGTTTAATGGATTTTTATTATTTAGAAACTTAATAATGTGCAGTTTCTCATGGAGGCACAAAGGGCACGAGTCATCCCAAGCTTTACAAGTTCTAGTCCTATTTATAATTTTCCATTTTACTTTAGGTGTCCTATTTATTTCCTTCAGATGCAAAAAATATTTAGATATAGGAAGTCTGATTTCTTTATATATATATATATATATATATATATATATATATATATATATAGTAATGGATTCTATATTCAACACCATCACTTGATAAGATACCAGAAGTGTTGAAACAAAATGGCTGGTTTTGTAGTGATTTATAACATATTTATGTTATAATTTTCGAATAAATAATTATATATATATATATATATATATATATATAGGGTTTTTCTTGAAAGTTTTTAGCGTTTTACTTTTAAAAAAATAACTTAAAATTACTAGCGCATTTAACCAACATTTAGAGAGATACTAAAACGATTTCTATGTGAGTGTGCGCGCAAGTACGGCTCTTATATTAACTTATCGTACATATGTGTTAATATAACACTAAAATTCAAAGTACTTGGAATTAAGCATTGTTTTGAACTCGTATTATTTCGAAGTTCCTTACATAAATCGTTGCCATTTGTTACTTTTTAAGCTGTATTTTTCATTGACGCTTATTGCAACTCCGAGATCGTCAATCAATGATCGTTTGTAAATAGCGTAGGTAGGAAATAAATAAATAAATAAATAAAAAACCTCCAAGATTCGAACTCGCGTCCTTTTCTTTTAGGATGTGCCTTTTGGCGATGTCTTCTCATCCCTACGTGATATAATTTTCTATTTTAGATGGCTGACGCGAACTCCTCCAGTTTGGAAAAAAAGCTGGGGGTGACAAGACTTTCGGTTCACCCTGTAACACATTGTGGTAACGCTGTTTTAAATTTAAACTTCATTTCTCTTTACCTTTTCTAACCGATTATATTAACTTTATTTTTTTTTTATTACTCTCTCTTCATAATGTAAGACACCCGCCCGCCCAAGAAAACTTTCGTGGGTCAATTTATTTTTGCTATTGTTTTATCTTGTATTTTTTTTATTTTCCTATTTTTTAATCTTTGTATATCTGTATGTCTGGGATATCTTGATTCCATTTAATAAAATGTAGTCAGTCTGATGAAATGAAATAAAAATTCATCGAAATAAATTTATTACTGACCATGGATTTTTAAGGTTTTTCCTAATTATTCTTATATATATATATATATATATATATATATATATATATATATATATATATATATATATTTTCAATTGAGCACTATTGAATGACAAGCTAATTCTATAAACAACAGCCACATGCGCTAATGCAAAGCTCTTCAGTAAAATGGATGGAGCCCGCTTGGCATTTGTTTACATTCGTAAAAACAATACGCTAGATTTAGCTAGCTCATTCTGTCGAATGAAGTTAGCTCAGTGGTAAAACTCTGACACCAAATCGGTTGGGTTTCAATCCTGGCTTTGAGGCATTCGGATGTCTAGTCGCACTGAGGAGCTGTGATACAGCGAAACAGTACTGTCTGCGAATGACACACACATACAATATATATATATATATATATATATATATATTGATAAGTATTTGCTTTGATCAATTTTTGTACAATAATTACTATTCGGCTGGCTTAAACGTCAATTACAATGTAACTAAACTGATAGAATTGGTAGAAATCTATCAATGCGCTATAAAAGAATGTATTTAGTAATTATTTTTTGTATTATTTGTCCTTTTTTTAAATAGCATTTTGTTCGCTCTAGAGTAAGGCTATCGAGAGAGAGCTAGAAAAATATTAAGATTGTTGGTGGTTGTAGTCTTAAAAATAAACGAAACGTTGATGGCAGTCACCAAATGAAAACTACGGGCTCTCCGAGGCAGGACAGTAATGGAAAGCAAAAGAAATGGACTATGAAGTTGCAAAAACAGAATGTGTGATTGTGAACTAGAGAGAAATAATATCCAAGATGCGAACTACAAATTTGAGATGTCAACATCAAGTAAGTACAAAAGTTTAAAGTTATCGGAAATTTAAAATGGTATTGAAAATGCGACACAGAATTTTGAACGTGCATTGGATAAACGAAAGATACATTTCAAAAGCTAAGATAAATACTAAGAAACATGAAAGTTTCGTTAGAGACAAGGAAAAGTGCTGAATTGTTTTGTGATATCAACGCTGAACGAACTCTCCATAGATAAAGAGAAGACTGGAGGCAAAGTAAATGTGGTTCTACAGGAGGATAATGAGAATTCTGACGAGAAAATATAACTGAAAATTGTAACACTTATACACAGAATGAGAAAGACAGCTGAAATTTCTTGGACATATGATTGATTCGTTTTGTACTGCTTATCGATCCTTTGCAGGTTATTTAAAGCCAGAAGCTATTTTTAGATTGGAACAATTTATTTTGGGGATAATGATTTAGGAATACAAGTCTTACTGATTAACCCATAGCTGGAGGAAGAAGCGGTGGATTCAAGACTTTCGCAGTGATATTTGCGCGTAAGTGAATTTAACGAATTCAGCTGAAATTGGAAATCGGCTCTCCGGCGAAAAATTGAGCCATGATCAATTACACCACTCTCGCATCCAAGATAAGAGTACCTGGTATGTCAAAACAGTCACTTAAATGGTCCATGAGGGTTGATATTCTGGCAAACCAAACCAAACGATCACCCATTAAGGTACTGATCGGTCTCGTTGCTGCTTAACTTCGGTGATCGTACGGGAACCGGTGTTTCAACGCTATATGACCGTAAGCCTTTGGACATATGAGGAAGGAGGGGTTGATGGACTTAAACCTAACAGGTTACATGGAGGGCAAGAGATGTGTGGTCAGCTATCTGACGAGCTTATGTAAATGGCTGGCTGGCTGACTGGGAGACTTGGTGAACGCTACTAAGTGTTACAATGGATAAGAAGTTGTGGAAAGCCATGGTAGCCGCCATACTGACATCAGTAGTGGAGTTGCTTAAGATTTAGTCAAATTTAAGTAAAGATGCTTATAAACGTTTTCTCATTAAAGAAAGTGCAGGTTCCAAAAGTCAACTCAAAAATTTACTGTTTAATTCAAATCCATCTGTCGCCAAAAAGCCTCATCAAAAATAAAGTGTCAAAGCTTTATCTAACAAATTTCGAACATGACGCCGATTTTAAGTAGCACAAGGCTGCATTTCAACTGTCGTTCAGGCAAAATAAGAAATTAAGTCTCTATGCCTAACTTTAAATTATTGTAACCGATCAGCCATCTTAGTTTAATCGATACGGCAACTGCCCCGGAATACAAACTCTAAGACGTGAGAAGGGAGTTCGAATCTCGCTCGAAATATATTTCTAGTTCACAAATTTTACAAAAATTATGGAATTGATTAACTGGGAACAGCATTAAAAAAAAAACTCAAGAAAAATAACATGAACTAAATATTCTTTAAAAATCACCAAAATAATTAACCGAAACAATTGCCATGCTAAAATTTTCTTTTCTGTATTGCTTTTGAAGTATAAGCAAATTAAGATATATTTTCCGTCTCCCTCTTCCCACCCTTTCCGTCTCCCTCTTCCCACCCTTTCCGTCTCCCTTTCTCTTCACCCCGTCTCCCTCCGCTCTCCCTCTCTCTCTGTCTCCGTCTCTCTCCTCTCTCTGTCTCGTCTCTCTCTCTCTCTCTCCGTCTCTGTCTCTCTCCGTCTCTCTCTCTCTGCTGTCTCTCTGTCTCCGTCTCTCTCTCTCTCTCTCTCTCTCTCCGTCTCTCTGTCTCTCTCCGTCTCTTCTCTCTCTCCGTCTCTCTCCGTCTCTCTATCTCTCTCCTCTTTCTCTCTCGTCTGTCTCTCTCCGTCTCTCGCGCTGTCTCTCTCCGTCTCTGTCTCTCCGTCTCTCGTCTCTCCCTCCCCGTCTCTATCTCTCTCGTCTCTCCCTCCCCGTCTCTATCTCTCTCGTCACAATCCATCAAGGGATTTATTTTCGGAAATCTCCTTTTTGAAGAAATCTTACAAAGGACAAAGAATGGAGAAAATCAGTTTATTTCAGACTAAAACACGGAAATTATTAAGACTAATTGTATGACCTGTTATTAGTTGTACCAACAACGACCCTTGCTTTTATTGGGGTTTCAGCTATTTTTGTTATAGTTTCTTTAATGAGTAAGAATTTTATCACGGCCAGACACGTCCATAGATAATTAAAGATACCAAAATGAACTGAGATAAAAAAAAAAACAAAAAACAATTATACTGATGTCTTGGTTATTTCATTATTTTTTTTTTTTAACTCCAAATAAAACTAGAATTTACGTGGCTAATCTAGTAAGGTGCTTGTCTTTCAAGCAGCCGAAAGAACACTGTTGGCTCTGAAAGTCTCTTTCGTAAAAATACCTAATCCTTCTCCGGCACTTCAGAACGCGCAAGAAACAACCGAGGCTGTGTAGCCAAAATTCCGTGGGGGAGGGGAGAAATTAGTCCGAACCAACAACGTAAAATGAATGATATACTATGGGATCCAAATCATGGTAAAAGATCAACGAAGATCATTATCGATAAACACGTGGACGACATTGGAAACCAGAAATGAAGAAATCTGAATGGTAATAATAGTTGCAAAGAATTAGAAGCGTCTGTATGAGGACAAACGGATAGAGAGAGGATATTTTTTTACCTTTTATCCTTCCCTTGTTCTTGCTGTTTCACACGTGACCAGGACAAAAATATATTTTCCCTATTTGATAAAATCTGTAAGCCAGCTGAAAAATGTTTTTGAAATGCCCCATATTTACGGCCTTGTACCAGCTCTGTTTAATAAATAACTAGTAAAGTCAATCCTTACTAAGTGCTCTCCGCCACCTTTTGTCAGAAACTGCTAGATAACCTTGAAATGTTTAGGAAGGATATCAGAATAATCTAGAACCTTTACTGGCAGCAAACCGCCTGCATACGGATAGAAAATGAATTCAGTAAATATACAAGAATATAAATGAGTGTAAGGTAAGTTCAACCTACACTGAGAGAATTGGATGTTCTGCCAGGATTTATTACTGGCGGCCACAATCTTAGCAGCATAAGAATTGCAAATAATACAGACGGCACAGAAAAATACAATAACTCTTACAGAAGATAGTAAAAAAAAAAAGCGAGAAGAAATGACTAAATATCAGACAGAATCAATGGTTGTTAGCAAAAGGGTCAGCCCAAAAGGCAAATTACAAATTGGAGATGCCAAATCAAACAAGTACAATATAAATATCCGGGGAGTGTTTTAACAGGACGAAAAGTGCGATACTTATTTTCGAAGGCGAATTGGTATAGCGAATGTTGCCTTCCAAAAACTAAGCGAAGTATCAAGGAATAGAAAAAATTTCAGTGGAAACATAGTACTGAACTCTTACGTAATATCAGTCCTCCTATATGCTAGCGAATGCTGGACAATGTCTTCACTGATAAAGAGGCTTAAAGCAACAGAAATGTGGTTCTACTGAAGGATCTTGAGAATGCCATGGACCGAACCATTGAACAACGAAGTTTTAGAGATAATGGAGACAAAAAGGACACTTAGACTTAACATTAGAAAGAAACAATGGAAATTTGTAGGGCACATAATGAGGAAAGAGGAACTGGAAAATTTGATATTCACAAGGCGTGTTAAAGGAAAAAGGTAAAAATCTCATAACCTACCTACGGCTTAAATGGTTGACAGAACTGGGTTTAGTAGAGATGGCTTATGCATTTATTGCTTTAATTGAAACAGTTGCGGTACAAGACCAAATGAGAAGTGGGTAAGGCTGGTCAACACTTTCTAGTTAATCAGATTCACGACCCATTCATTCATTACAATTTGCTTATTCACCACAAGAATTCATCCATCACCATTCAATACTACATTTACACACTTTTCCAATCCCTCTTTTCTCGTGTGTACTACACATTTCAACTGTCTCTTCCTGATGTTAAGTATAAGTATCTTTTTGCTTCCTTTTCCCTTAAACTTCGTCGTTGCTCGCACGTTTGGTCCATAGGTATCCTCAGCAGTCTTCTGTAGAACCACATTTCTGTTGCTGAATGTCGCTTCTTTGTCCCGTATTCATTGCTGCATACGAGGATGGATGTTACATAAATGTCAGTACTCTTTTCTTTGTTTCTGATGAAATTATCCTGTTTCGTAATACTTAGCGAAAGATGCCTTGCAAATGTTTAGCAATTTCAGTTCCCCTTCGGATTTCACCGTCACATTTCTTGTGTTTAATTTTGATTTCTCCAATTTGTGGTTCGCATCTTGTGCTATTCGTTTTACTATTCCTCCTTGATGTTTAGTCCTTTCTTCCTGGTTTTATTCATTAGCTTCTATAGGAGTTCTTGTAGATTCTTTTCTATGTCTGCAAACAATAATATGTCATCTGCATATCTTATGTTGTTGAAATTGTGGCTGTCAATTATGAATCTTGATAGGACTTCTAATTAATTTTGATTTCTCCAATTCGTTGTTTGCATCTTGGGCTATTCCTTTTGCTATTCCTCCTCCTTACAATTGATGTGTAGTCCTTTCTTCCCGCTTTCCTTCATTAGCTTCTATAGGAGTTCTTGCAGTTTCCATTCTATGTCTGCTATCAACACTCTCATCTGCATATATTATGGTGATTTTCTAAGCGTAACTTAGATGTGGCAAAAAGGTCAAAATTATGAGGCGCCCAGTGAGGATCGAACTCACTATTCAGTCGTAATTGATCTTGCGAAACAAGCTTTCTAACCATTACACCACATCGAAGTGCCGCATCTGCATATTTTATGTTAAAGTTTGTGGACACCAAGAATAAATCCTGATAGGACTTCTAATTCTTTCAGAATTGCCTTACTGTATAGATCGAATAAGTCCGGTGAGAAGACACGTCCGTAGTCCTGGGTGTGACAATAAACTACATCCGGCAGCGTGCAACCTCTTCTTAATTGCTGATACTTGGTAGCAACTGTTAGGCTTCCAGCTATAGGAAAATACTATGAAAGTATAAAAATCTTTTTAGTAAAAATACCAGTAATAGATTTTTATTTGAAAATTACCAACAATACATTTTGTCTGTAGTTGAAGGCCTACAATTACGTTCAAAATATATAGAAACCATAAAATTGTGCTCAAAATAGTTAGATTTCAGTATTAAATAACCCATAGAGGTTGATATGCCGCTAAACAAGACCCACCACCACGATACATCTTGGTCTTAAACTCTTTTCTATTTTTATGTATTTATTGAACTAATTTCCTGTGTGTATTCAGGTGGTTTTTTGCCAGACGAGTTCCATAAACAGTTGATCATCATTCAAAACTATAGAGACCAAACTCGCTGTTGTTAAATCTATCATTATGCATCTTGTTTTCATGTCGAAACATAAACACTTTCCAAATATTTGTCTGTACAAAACAGACATATGTTTTGTCTTTTGTTTTTACTTCGAAGTACTGTTTTAAGGCATTTTGTAATTTGAAAAATTGAAAAATCGTCTGTGAACGTTTAAAAAGAAATCATTTTATCTAAGTAACATTTCTTGAAGATCTGATAAATCGACGCGTATGCAACTTTCTTTTAAACTTTATCTAATACAAGACACGAGATGACCTAAAGGTAGAGCGTTACTGTTAAAAGGGGTTATAATAAATGTGGTGAGTGATAGAAAGCGAAAATTAAAAGAATAATTAGATGCCGATTGAGACTTGACTTCAAAAGGCAAAGATTGTGTTGTTCAGAGAAGCGTCCGAGTAAGATTGCTTTCCACAAAGTAGCAGTTTTTTGTGGAGGTGGCTGTCTAAGTTTAACTTTCCTCTTAAATTTTGAACGCTGACGAAACGAGGCTGATTCGTTTCCGTGGAAGAGGCATGGTGTTCTCTAACTGTAAAGGGCTAAACTGGTAGAACTAAATAATGGAGTCCATCTTAAGATTTAAGCAGAGAAATGGTCATAGAATAGCAACTTTGCATCTGTGAAAAAGAGGCTGGCGAGTTAAAATAAGTCCCCACCACCATTAAACAGAGTAAACGACTTCTGGTCTATGCAAAGAAGATTCAGTTAGAGATTAATTAAAAAATGTCGACAACATTCACGATTAAAATTTTGTTAAACGTAGTAAAAGGAAACTGGGAAGAAAGGACTAAATATCAAATGTAAGGAGGGGGACTAGTAAAAAGAATTGCCCAATGTGTGAATTATGAATTGGAGGTCCTATCAAGATTCATAATTGACAGCTACAATTTCAACAACATAAGATATGCAGATGACACATTGTTGATAGCAGATATAGAAAGGAAACTACATGAATTCCTACAAAAGGTAGTAAAGGAAAGTTAGAAGAAAGGACTAAACATCAATTGCAAGAAGGAAGAGTGCATGTTTATTAGCAAAAGGAACAGCCCAACATTCAAATTACAAATTAGAGATACCAAAATCTAGCAAGTACAAACATCTAAACATCTGGGAAGTGTTTTAACAGACGACAGAAAGCGTGACACTGAGATCCAAAGGCACATTGGAATAGAGAAAGATACCTTTCAAAATCTAAGCAATGTATTAAAAAATAGAAAAATTTCATTAGGAATAAAGAAAAGATTGGTGAACTCTTCTGTAATATCAGTCGTCCTATATAGAAGTAGATGCTGGGCCATCTCTTCACAGATGAAGAGACTTGAGTTAACCGAAGGATGCCGAGAAATATTTAGGAAGAATATTAGAATAATCCAGCATCTATACTGGCAGGAAACCGCCTGCATACGGATAGAAAATGAATTCAGTAATTATTCAGAAATAGAAAGTGAGGTAAAACAAGAATTTGTCTTCTTTAACCTATACAGGTTTCATTATTGATGGCCATGGTCTTAACAACATAAGATATGCAGATGACACAGTGTTGATAGCAGACATAGAAAGGAAACTACAAGAACTCCTGTAAAAGCTAATGAAGGAAAGCGAGAAGAAAGGACTAAACATCAATTATAAGAAGGAATAGCAAA